TTTCCTTTAATGACTAATTTTCTACAACCCACAAATTTTGATATTTCATTTTCATTCATTTCAAAATACTTCCTAGTTTCCCTTTTGTTTCCCTTTTGATTGACTCTTTAACCCAAGGGTTATTAATAAGTTATGTAGTTTCCAAATATTTGGGGACATTCCAGTTATCTTTTTGTTATTGATATCTAAAATTTAATTCTACTGTGGACATAGAACATAGTCTGTAAGACCCGAATCCTTCTAAATTTACTGACTTGTTTTACAGCCCAGAATGTGCCCTATCTTGGTAAATGTTCCATGTGCACTTGAAAAGAAATGTGTATTGCTCTTTGGTTGGATAAAGTGTTCAATAAATGTCGATTAAGTCAATGGGTTGAAAGTGTTGTTTGAGTTGTCTATGTCCTTATTTATTTTCTGTTTACCTGTTCTATAAATAATTGAGACAGGAATATTGACATCTCTGACTATAATTATGAATTTGTCTATTTCTCATTATAGTTCTATCACTCTGTGTTATTTATTTTGAAGCTCTAATTTTAGGTAATAAACATTTAAGATTTTCTTTTTCCAATAATGTAGTAACACTCTTTACCCTTGGCAATATTCTTTGCTCTAAAATCTACCTTAGAAGCTCCTCTAGTGCAACTGGTTAGTGTGTAGTACTTATATGAAATCTATTTTACATGACAGTGATATAGTCATTTCAGCTTTCTTTTGATTACTGTTAACATGGTGTATATTTACTCATCCTTTTACATTCACATCTTTAAATGCAAAGTGTGTTTCTTACAGAAACCATATTGTTGGATATTGCTTTTTTAAATCTAGTCTGACAATCTATGCCTTTTAATTGGGATACTTAGACCATGACAATTGATATGATCACTGATATGCTTGAGATTAAATCTACCATCTTGCTATTTGCTTTCAAATCAGCTGATCTGTTCTTTGTTACCCTTTTTCTTTTTTGCTGCTTTTTCTGTTTCAGATTGAAGATTTTTTATTATTCCTTTTTATACAATCTTTTGGATTATTACCTCCCTTTGTTGTGTTTTTTAGCAGTTGCTGTAGGGAGCACGTATCTTTGCCTTGTCACAGTTTACCTTCATGTAATATTACACCACTTCGTATACAGTATAAAATCCTTACATTATACATCTATGTTTCCCTACACCCTCCCCAGACTCTGTACTATTGTTTTTGTACATACATTTACATGTTATTAAACCCACAACATATTTTTTCATATGTTTTTTTCTTCTTCAGGGACTGCAATACATTTATATTAAGCTACTTGAAGCTGTCCAAAACCTCACTGAGGTTCTTTTCCAATTTTTTAGTCTTTATTCTTTGTTTTTCGAGTCAGAGAGTTTCTATTGCTATTCTATACTTCAAATTTACTGAATTTTTTCTTTTGCAGTGTTTTATCTTCTATTAATTAAGTGTATTTGCTATATTAGACGCCGAAATTTTGATCCCTGGAAGTTTAATTTTATGTTTTCAATGTTTCTACTCAAAAAGTTTAATCTTTACTCTTGAATCTATGAAATATAGTTTTAATGATTTTCATATTTATATAAGTAGTATTTATATGGAATGATGCTTCTTAAAAGTGCCAGTTATATATTAATAACTTCTGTTTCCAGACAAGATAGAGTAACAGAGAATGGATTTACTCTTCTTCCTACAACAACTAAAATAACAGACAAAATACACAAAACAACAGTTTGTAAGATATTGGACACCAGGCAACAAAAAACAGTGATCCCTGAGAGATGGGAAACAACCAAGAAAACACCCTTCTATGTAAATGTTCTTTCTAACTTTTTAAATTTTGTGCATCATATATATAACACTATAACTTTACACATAAACATTGTGTATGTGTGTTTATGTATCTATCTGTCACCCTCTGTAAGAATTTAAGGTATACAAGTTCAGGGAGTTTACTGTGTTTATCGTATCATCTTTGTTACCACAAGCTTACTCAAACACAAATATCTATTGAAAAAATGAACTTAAAAACAATATCATTTTTAAATAATAAAAATGGTATTACTTTTAAATCAATGAACAATACTACCCTGAATGTGTTGAAACTCTTCTAGATATTTTGGTTGTTTACAGTTGTTCACTATTAAAGACTAAAAGTAACAACTTCTAGCCATATCTTTGTTCATATCTTCATTTCCTTAAAAAAGAACTTCTAAAAATGGAAATGTTTGGTCAAAGCATATGTAAACTTTGAAAGTTTTTGAAGCATTCTGCCTAACTGCTCTCTCTTAAGCTGAACCTATTTAAATTGCAATCTGTAGTGTGTGAGAATGTCTTTTGGGGGGAATTTTGACTTCTGTTATGATTAACCTTCTACAGGAAGTATTTGGAAGAATCAGAGATAACAAAGCAATCACCTTCTACCTTTAATGATATGGATGCCTGCTAAACCATTGAGGGCACAAACTAGCTGCCGATGTGCTTCTTCACATTCAGTTCCACATTTCTTTTGCAAAGATGTCAGCAGTTCTTCCATTGTCATGGTGCTAAAAGAAAAGATAGACTGTTGAAAACTAGAAAGAAATTCCCAAGAGTTATTTCAATGGGTGTGTTATACAACATGTGATCAAGAGTATGAGACTCCTACAGCATCTCTGCGATACCTTCAGCATTTTTTTCTTCATCTCCATTCCAGCTCAATTACCTCTATCTGATCCCACCATTCTTTCAGTTCTTCCCATTTCAGGATAGAGAGAATGGAACTATTAATAGTAGAATGTACTAGTTCCTTAAGTCCTTAAGTAGAATGTACATCATGATGTATTTGAAACACTATGGGTGTTATAAGACTATCTGAATACCAGCATTACAATTTAACTAATTAACCTCTTTGAACTTGAACACCTAATCTGAATACTTTTTTTATCTATAAAAAAATGAAGATTCAAGGATCAAGCCAAATGCCATTTCCACCAGAAGGCTGTTTAACCTTAGCCATTTATATACAAGTTGTTTCTATACTCTCATTGTCCATAGTAATTTGTATGTACATCTTGTGAAATTTACCATGTTCACTTTGTATTTCAGAAATCTATTGATATAATTTTGTCACTTTCCCTTATTTGTCTATAATCTGCTTAAGGTCAAGGACAAAATCTAATCCCTCTTTCTATCTCTTATAGCCTAAGGTGCTTTAAAAAAGGTCAGTTCCTGAGTCACAGTCTGATACATAAAAAAATTTCTAGGACATTAGAAAAATAAGAACACAAATTCCTTAATGTTTTCAGAAGGAATAATCAAATAAATATAGTTGTATAATTTTAAAGAAAATATTTAATGGTAATCTATCCCTGATGTGGGAACCGAAAAATATAATGAGAGCAAAATCCTTTCATATGTGGAGTACAGACAAAACCCCCTCCCAAAAACAACAAAAAACCCCAACAATAATCCTAATTTTAAAAGAAATGTTCAAAACCATGAAAATAAATATGATGTGATTCTCTTTCACAAATGAGATTTCATATCAAAGAAAAAACACCATACCATTAAAAACAACTGACAACTCAGTGATAAGTCTTTGAATGAAACTGTGGGCCAGAAAGTTAATTGCTTAAATATTGTCTATTTTGATACTATCAATTGCAGTATAAGGACATTGATAATAAAACCTTTTTTGGAGTGGCAAGAACTCCCCACGAACGGCCTGTGGGTGGCAGCAGGCCTGTCTGAGCCTCAGCAATGGATACAGGATGGAGGTGACAGTCCTTCTGTCCAGGCTGCTGAGCTTCAGAGCCCAGTCGGAAATCTTCCTGAGTTTTACCACTGCATCCTGGCAGCACACCTCATGTTGACGGTGATAGAAATGCCTTTCCACTGGAGAAAAGTGGAGCCAGTGTATTTCTTCACTCTGTGGTGGTATCTGGATCTATAAAGAGGAGGAAAAAGAAAGATTTCACCCGAAAATTTAACTTTCCATCCCAAAGTTTCTTTTTTCTTATAATACACTTAGTCAATAAAAACTTATACTGACTTGGTCAATCACATCTTTCTTTGCAGACCTCCACAGTATCTTAGCAATAAAGCTGTAGAGGTGCTGAGGATTCTTCTTACAGTAAGGGCGATAGAGAAGTCGAACCCACCAGTGTTTGACACAGTAAGGTTCAATACCAAGAAAGACCACTAACCCAAAAAGATCTGAAAAGAAAAAAGAAAAAAACACTTTGAGAATAACTGTTTCTGTATTTCTTCATAACTACTTTGAATAAGCACTTTTACAGGCATTACACAGTATATAGTAATTTCCATGAAGTAAAAGGTAGATTGTATAGGCTCTTAAATCTGAAATTCAATTCCAACTCAATTTATACTTCTTGAGCATCTATTTTGCTCTATGTTTTGCTCAAGGTGCTAAAATGTTGTGAAGTTTATGGAACCATTATGCAAAGCTTATATTTAATTCCAAAGTCTGAAACTATCATCAGAGGTAAAACCAGAAAACTACTCAATTGAATGTATTTGATAAGAGATATGTAAGAAATACCATGCAGTGAAACTAATAGATGCAAGAATTGCTGGATGAGGAAAAAAGATTTCTAATCACATAGATGATAGGGAAAATATTCTCTGATCCAATATTCCTCATACCCTTTGATCTAATAATTTTATTTCTCGAAAACAAGCCTAAGACAATAAAAAATATAGATAACATTTACCCACACAGTGATATTCATAGCAACAATATCAACAATATATAGAATAAAAATGACTCAAATAAAGAAATAAATTATGGTACCCCTATAAAATAGAACTATTTTTCTTTTCTGATCTAGTATATGCCTTGCATTTGTTAGCTTTAGCACATGGTACTTCTTATATATCTCTTGATTGGGCATACTCAATTTTATATTTTATTTTTTCTCCACTTAACGCATCTAAGTGTTTTTTTACATATTTATTTGTTATGAATTATGGAAAACTGCTTAGGATGCAATGTTAAGTGAAAAAAAGGAATACAAAATTATGCATGCAGTATGAGCCCATTTATTTAGAAAAGACTGGATGTAGTTTTGTATTCAAGTGAAGACTACTGGTGAGTGTAATTTTCTTTATACTTTTCCATATTGTTAAAATTTTTCACAATGGGCATATATTACCTTTAGAAGCCATAAAAAATAATATAAAATACCATGACCCTACCTACAACATCATTTTGAAGATGGCCAACAAATATTTAGGTCGAATTAAGCTACTTTGGTGGTTTGTGGGAGTTAGTTACATATGAAAGAACCAAAGCATCATTGCCTATATGCAGAGATGATAGATTTTTATTTTCAGTTCAAATCAATTGCCTATATGCTAATTCTTGAGATCCCAAAAGTGCCTCAGACTGAATCTGTCAAAATCAAGTTCATAATCTTTTCCTCCAGACATACTTCTCTACTGGTGTTATTCACTGGTGAATATTGTTACCATCCACAGATTTATGCAAGTCAGAAATCTCAGCATCTCCTGACCTAATGTTAGGAAGGGATAAGGATAGGGAAAGAGGAACAGATATTTTGTCTATGATACGAGAATATAAGAATTGACCAATTAAAAAGAGGTAGAGAAAAAGCAAACTGGGGAGATGGTCAAAACCACAAATGTCATGGACTGGTAAGTGTGCACTGGGAGATTTCATTTGTCCTCAACTGACCCAGGGCTCATTACCGTCTAATTTGCATTATGGTTCTGACCCCCCAGTGGGCTTTCAAAGGATTCTAGGAGGACACATGAGCACAAACTAAGAGGGAATTTGTATAAGAAAACCTGTCAATCACCCAAGGGCAGGAAAGTGAAACTTCACCTAAAGAGAGGAGGGGCGGCCCATTTATCATATAAAAACGTGTGTGCTAAAAACCCAGGTCGTCTCCACTTGTGGAGATAGACTCGTTCCCTCTCTGTATCGTACTGTGCTTAATAAATCTTGGGGCTTGGCTCACTTGTATCTGGTTGGCCTGCTCATTTATTCCGTTGACTCAGTCTCAGTAACCATTCTTCGATAAGAACCAGGAAACACACAAACCTGACACTATCACCAAGGCTTGTTAATTTTCCCCATCCACTTTTTTCTATATCTTCAAGACAAACATAGCCCAAAGCAAAAGTGCCAGCATCAGTTGCCTAGATTACTTATTATAGCTGATCAACCAATAGCCTAGTATCTACTCTTATTCCCTTCTAAACCATCCTCCACAATGCGACTAGAGTGATATTAGAAATATAAATTCAATCACAGGATGACTTCCAACCACTGTGTTTAAATGCTTTCAATAGCTCCTACAGTTCTTCAGAAAATAAATTCTTTATCATGGCCTACAACATCCTCCATGGTCCCATCTATACCCACCTATTTAGTGTCTCAATGTACTGTTCTCCCTAGCTCTTTGTGCTCTAGCCATACTGAAACTCTTTCAGTCTTCTCCTTCCACAAGATCTTTATATTTTCTGTTTTCTCCACAAGAGAGAATTCTTCCCTCACCTCTTTACCTAGCTCATGTGAGTATTTTGGATCTCAGATTAGGTGTCACTTCCTTCTGCATCCCTATTATGTGATAGAACCAGGTCTTTTTTATGGAACCTGATACAGTTAGAATTTTATATTTTTCTCATTTATAAAAGTTATCTTGATTGCAATTTAATATTTATTAAATATTTAATAAATATATCTTCCCTGCTAAGCTGTAAGCTCAATAAAGCCAGGGACTTTACCTACTTTTGCTCATTATCGGCTATGGTTTGACTGTGTCTTCCAAAAGTTCGTGAGTTGGAAACTTAATTCCCAATGCCACAGTGTTGGACGGTGAGGCCTACTGAAGGTGTGACTGGGTCACGAAGTGGGATCCCTCAAGAAAAGATTAATGTCATTATTATGGGAACAGATTAGTTATTTCAAGAGTGGGTTGTTATAGAACAACTTCAGTCCCTGGTTCTTCTCTCTGTATCGTGCACTCACTTCTGCCTTCTGCCCTTCCACCATGGGATAATCCTTGCCAGGTACCAGTGCCACGCTCTTGGACTTCCCAGCCTCTAGAACTGTAAGCTAAATAAACTCCTTTTCTTCATAAATTACCCAATCTGTGGTATTCTGTTATAGCACCAGAAAACAGTTATTTAAAATCAACACTTTCAAAGAAACTAAAATAAATAAATGACTACATAAAGGGAAAATAAAAACAAAGGCTGAAGTGGAAGTAGCTATCATTCATTGAATATTTAATATCTGTGAGGTACTGTGCTAAAATATTTTGTAAACTTTATTATAATTAATCTTCAAAACAACTTATTTTACAAATATGGAAAATAAGGATTTGTATGTTTAAGTAATTTGTTTATGGATGCACAACTAAAAGTCAGGATATGAACCCGGGTTTATATATTCGCCAAAGGCAAGGCTTTGTATATTATACAAATAAGTATTTCATACAGACATGGGGTGTGAGGGGTGGAAGGAGTGAGCAGCATTCATGCCTCTTTGACTTTCCAAGTAGATGACATTATTTCAGCCTGCCTGCAGAAACAATCTAAAGACCTGATAAATTATGAAACTACCCTAGCCTCATTTCCTTGCTTAATATGTGGTCAAACTGGGATTCACAAGATCTCTGGGATGTTGCTAATAAATCATTAAATCTGATTTACCTATCAGTCTAGCATAATGAGGTAGAGATGAAGGGGTGCAATTTTGCTCTCCAGGGGACATTTGACAATGTCTAGAGACATCTGTGGGTGTCAGAATGGCAGGAGTGCTACCAGCATCTAGTGGGTAGAAGCTTAACATCCTAAAATGCACAGGACAGCCTCCAACAAAAAAGAATTATTTGGCCCCAAATGTCAGTAGGGCTAAGGATAAAAAACCCTGGTCTAGCACAAAAAGAAAACAAATGAGATTTCTACTTCCAAATACAACGTAGTAAATCATGGGCAGGCTAACATTCCCACTTGTGACAACCAGAAAAAAACAGATACATTGCAAGAATCATAGTGTTAAAAATACCAGAGAGTTATGGAAACGAGGGGGAAAGATGAGTAAAATTCCAGAAAGTTTGGAAAAGTTCTTTTTTAGGTGACTCAGAGTATGAGGAAACTTCTGGGGGTGATTACCTTGTTGCGGAAATAGATTCATGGCTATCCACATATGTCAAAACTTTTCAAACTTCACATCTTAAATATTTAGTTTTATCATATGTCACTTATAAATGATTTAAAGCTCAAACAACTCAATAAAGTTGTTTAAAAAAATTATTCAAGAAGTTGAATGGTGACAAGTGCTTGAAACACCTGCCAACATCTTACATCTCTAAAAAAAACCTACATAGGGAACTGAGAAATTACTACTCACAATCTGTCAGCACTAAAATTAGAAAAAATTACTCTGATAGCCATTTACTTTTTCTATACCCCCTTAGATAACTTTTGAGCTGAATGATATCTTCTTAATATCTAAATATCTATAATGTTGGCAGACCACTAAATTTGGTCTTTTAATGACCTTGATATTATTCTATAAATATGTATCTTAATGTAACATTAAAATTATGTGAATATTTAAATATATACTTATTCATAGAAAACATTTCCCCCCCAAAAATAATCATCAAAAACATAATTTTTAGGTCCAAGGAATGGATGTTGATATTTTCATTTCAGTATAATGATAAGTTATCCTGCTGAAAACAAATATAAGATATGAAGTTTGGGTTTTCAGAAAGAGAAGTTTGAGTGGACTCCAAATATATTTAAATTTTGTAATTTAACTACATTTTAATAATAGCTTTTTAGGAAATTTATTATACAAAATAAGATTTACTTAAACTTCTAGTTTTACATATTCACAACTTGGATAAAGGTTTTAAAAATATAGTGTCTGTTCTATGGATAAAGTGACAACAAATGAGATTAATGTAGAAACATCATTATAATGTATGTGTGGAGGGGAGAAGATCAGATATAATCTAGTCCAAGAGTCCAAGAGGAATCACTGAAAGAATAATAGTATACATGCATATAGTCTGACATTATAAAGCTATTAATAATTTATAACTTTTACAATTAGTAAAATTATGGTCCCACTATTAATGGATTCAGACAATGAAATCACAGTCCCTATTTGTAGAGACACAGCCAGTTGAAATTAATTCCTTTTCTCTCTCTCTCTTCCCCTCTCCCTTTTTAGTCAGATTCTTCTACTTCCCACTTCAGAACTCTGCTTCTAATTCAGACATCTATCTACACTGTTTAGGTAGGTACAATAATTGCTTAACTTAGGACAATGGGACCATTCACTACATATCTGTCCTCTTATACACTAATAGAAAAATCATCCAAGTACCATTTAAAAAGATAAATGCTTGAAACTATCAGGAGTCAACTATAATATAAATACCTGTTCATCACTTACATAAGGATTTGACAAACGTCAAGCATAACAATAATCCCCCCCCCAAATGAAGATTTTCCAATACATGCAATATGTGAGGAAATCATACATTACCCTCCAATCCTCTCTGTACTGGAGTGCCACTGATGCACCACCGATTAATCCCACTCAAACGCTGGGCCATTTCTGCAGCCTGATGAGAGAGAAATATGAAATAAAAACAAAACAAAAAAACCAAAAAAGACACAGAAGAACATAGAATTCAGGTATATTCATGAAAATAGCCCATGAAAAGCTACACTTTGGGTGAGATGTACCTGATTTTATTTACCACAACATTGAGTGTCATATTTAATGGGCCATATTCCAGTACAGTGGTTCTCATTAGTGGGAGGCTGCCATGCTCCCCCTCCCCCGAATTGGAGAAGTAGTTCAAACATGAATAGAATGAAAAAACTCCCTCAATAACAGATACATCTCCTACACCATTCCATCCTCCATATGCATTAATAAGTATGATCCATAAATTCAGTTTAGGTTACAGAATTACCAAATTAGACAGAATAAAGACATATGACAAAGGCCAAATCAAAATCCTATCCTTTAAAGTATAAATAGCATTTTCTTTTGCCATTTGGTCTCTCTGATTTAAAAAACTGCCCAAATCAACTGTGGCTCAAAGCTATCAGCACCTACATGATAATCCTTCTGGTTAGCGGAAATGCTGAAAAATTCCCTAAACATGGTTTACTTTGATCTGCATCATGTATAAACTGACATCTCACTGAAATATATATGAGCATTGCGTACAAAGCTATGATTCACAGTAATGAAACAATTCCAAAGGGTTCATAGCACAATAGACAAGCACATATAGTGTTTAACAGCAAACTTTTGAACAATATCAATACTATGGGTTAACTATGATTACGCTATTAAACTATTCAAGTTCCCCTCATCCCTTTTTCCTTTCTTCCCAACCCTCAAAAGATTTTGCAAAACTCTCACTTTTACTGCAGGACATTCAACCATCTGAGCTTCATCAAGGCAGATCCTCCACCACTCCACAGCTACTAGGGGGCTGGGAATAGCCATATAGCGTTTCTGGTTCCGTAAGCGACGCCCATCCTCACTATTGCTATGTGGGATATCGACATAGTTTAGTTCTGAACGAAGGACATCATAGGTAATGATAACTATATCCTGTTCTGCCAAAAAATGAGGCTGTAAAAAGCCATCTTTCTTCACTCCTTGATATACCTAAGAAATAATCAGTACAGACATAGTTATTGAAGAAAGGCTCGTCAAAGACAAAAGAAATATTCATTAATACCCTTACTGAGCCTTTTCTATATGCTTAGGACCACACATGCTATGAGACAGTTCTCACACCTGTTTAGAGAAAGACACGTAGTGTGGAGGACTAATGACATGACGAATGTGAAAGGAACTGTAACAGACGTAAATGTGACAGCACCACAGTGGAAATGCCAATTCTGTGACAGAGAAGGTGAATTCACAGAGGAGTTAAAATTTGAGGTATGACTTGAAGAACATTTTGGAGTTCTAAGAGATAGAAAAAGGGGGAAAGGACAATATGCTGGTAGGCAAATGGAAACAACAACATGTGGGAAAGCATGATGTTATGAAAAAGTAAAATAAGAGCTATTACTTACAAAATATCTTTTAATGTTTCAGACACTGTACTAAGTACAATCTCTGAACTTCAACAACTCTATTAGTAGTTGTTACTATTTCTATCCTGTGCATAAAAAAATAAAGTGACTTGCTCAAAACTGATGGAGCTAAGACTAAACCAAGGTTTGCCTACTCACACAGAACAGAGCTCCTCAATGGTAAAAAACTGTTTTATTTACTACTACTGTATTCTCCATGCCTATGAGAGTGGATAAAATATAGAACACCTTTGGTAATATTTGTGTGGAAAGAAGGAAGAATAAAAGTAGTGAAGTGTACTAATATTAGTAAACAATATGACTAAATGACCACTTACTATGTGCCAGCACTTCATGAAATCATTTAATCTTCACAAGTCTGTGATTGGATACATTTTTAGAACTTAGCACAGTTCCTGGCACATAATAAGTACTCAGTAAATATCTGTTGAATAAGTTCTTATTTTACAGATGAGGTAATTGAGGCTTGGGAAGATGATTCTGGAGCTAAGAGGTGACAGATCAGACAAGCAGCTACTATTACACAATGTTGCCTTTGAATTGTGTTTCTCTCTAAGAGTATAAATGCTTATATGAAGACTTTTTCATTTATGTGATTAAGAATTTTTAAAAAAAAGTTTTCACATATTTATGTTCAAAGTGCTTTAACTTCTGATGTCAGAAAAGAATACACGTTCTATTGTT